CACAGCACACACACACACACACACTATACTCACACATATATACATATACCACATACATACACACACACCACACATACACACAGCACACACTCACACACACACCATACTCACACAATACATATACAACATACACATACACCACACACTCACATATACACTATAGACATCCCCATACCATACACTCACACACACATACATACACTCCACACACACATACACCATACACTCATACATACCTACACGATACAACATACATACACACCACATACCACACACTCACAATACATACATACCCACAAACACATGTACAACATACACGCACATACACCACACACTCACATAGACATACACCACATATACACACACATATACCACAGACCCTACACTATACTACACATATACACACAAACATACACACCACACACATACATACCTTAGTAGAGCTCAGGCAGAGCAGAGAGACCTATTATATCACCACCAACACCCATCCCTCTGACTCCCAGGTGACATTTCTGAGCCACCTGCAACATTCTGCTCCAGACCTACTAGGGACGATGCAGATCCAGACTGAAAACCATCACTGGGGCTGGAAAAGGAAGGAACAGGCACCAGCCATGCAAGAGGAGCTAAAGGAAGTGTGTGTGTGTGTGTGTGTGTGTGTGTGTGTGTGTGTGTTGAATGTGTATGTATGTGCCTGAGAGTATGTGTACATGCATGTGTGGTGAGCATATGTGTGATCTGGGCTCAGCAGCTGGGAGCTGGGCTGGGCTGCCCATTTGTGGGTAGCTGAGTTCCCCGGGTGTGAAAGAGCCCAGTGGCTTCTGGAAGGTGAACCTTCCGGGGCAAAGAGACCAGAACTGGTGGATGAGGGGTCGTAGGGCCCACCATGCATGGCACGGATGCTAGATGGCCATGTGACCTCATGAGGTTGTTGAAGATACAGCTCTAGAGAGCAAGAGGTGAGAGGTGGGGTTATTGAGTGAGTACCTACTGTATACACTGCTTTGTGCCATTTTCTCAGCAGCCCCTGAATTCTCCCCTTTTGCAGATAAAGAAGCAGGCTTAGAGAGGCAAAGGGGCTGGCGCAGGTCACACAGTGAGGGCCAAGCTGACGGGACTGAAGGCAAAGCTAGAGCTCTCTGGATAGGCCAAGCCCAGGCTGGAAGGGCCTGATGCTGAAGGACAGGACCCAAAGCCTGGCTCAGCCAGGCCTCAGCACCAATCCCTGCAGCCAATGCCTGATAGGGCCTGGGGTTAATGAGTGTATCGTTGCCCCAATTAACAGCAGAAAGGCAGCTGATGTCACGCTCAATCAAGCCCCTGTTCCTTCTACAGAATCCTAATTTGTGGACACTGGGTTTAATTGTCTTCCTTGAGTTTTCCTGAGAGTCAGCCAGGCAGGCACAGGCCCTGGGGCTGAAGAACACAAATACCCTTCCTCCAAAATCTATAATTACATTGGCCCTGGAGATGCACTGAGGCTCCAGGAGGCACCTGAGCTCGAAGGAACCTGGGGAGGTTAAAGAAGACAGAGGGGTTGTTTGAGCGCCTCTGAGATGCCCCTGGGAGGCAGAGGGCTGGCGGCAAGGACAGGGGCTGGGGGGAAGGAGGTGTTCAGAGATGGTCTAACCAAACTCCCACTTTGAAGTCTTCTAAAATTGGGTTCAGTTTATCCAGCAACTCACTCTGTGACTTTGGGCTCGTTGCTTAACCTCTCTGAGCCCCAGCCTCATCTGAAAAGTGGGACAATTAGGATGATAGCTGACCTGTAGGGGGAGCGGGAGCAGCCACCTTGAGTACATGGGCTGGCCACGTTGTAGGTCGAGAGTACAGTTCTGTGTGGATGTGGGCAGCCACCTCACTCTTTTCAGCTCCCTTTCTCTATCTCCCAGGTGGGGCAGATGAGAGTGTTGGAGACAAGGTCTGGGTGGTGCTGGGCTCACGGTGGATGGCAGTGTGGCCTGAAGTCATGTAGCACGACCCATGCACACACTCCTGATTCTGCAGAGCTAGCCCAGTGGGACCCCCCACTCTGCCTCTGCTCCCACAGCTGGCTTGCTTTCTTAAGTTTCACCTCTGCCATCAGACTGAACCCAGCTCACCTCCTCTGAAGCTCTCCCAGAGGCCTCCTTCCTGAGGCCAGAGCACAGCCTTAGGGCACATGCCATATTCTCCTTGGAGTGTCCCCGGGACTCACCCTGTCTTGTAGAAAGACAAACTGGTGCCCAAGATGGGGAGAAATTCTGAGGTGAGAGCTTAGCAGTTGGTAGAGGCAGACTATGACTCCTGCCCAGTGTGCTCCTGGCTCCCGGCCCAGTGCTCTCAGGATTCCCCCAGCCACGTAGCTGCTCGGAGGGACAGACGTGTGTTTAGGTGGCTGACTGTGGACAGGGGAACTGTCCCTGTCCACAGTCCACTGTGTCCACTGTGTGGAGGCCTTGTCACACGCACAGAACCTGTTTTCCCTCTCTGTCTTTGATCCACACTTCCCCCTTCACTGGGAAGCTAGATGAGGGGACCCGGGGAGGCCTCCCAGCACCCCACCTTGGAGCCCCTGATGAGTCTGAGGGGGATCAGAGAAACCCTGTGGGGAGGGGAGCTGGCAGCAATGGCCATAGCAATAGCCCTGTAGTCTTCAATTGATCTCCCATCTAAAGACCCTGTCTACTCTGTGTTCAGGATGGTCTGTGCACCAGGGTTGAGGCCAGGGGACACCGCCCCAGGGAAGTCTTCCCGATTGCCTCAGACTGGATAAACTGTGTGTACTGATGAAACAGCTCTCCCCCGCCCTCCAGGACTGCAGACTGGCCAGCAGGGACCATTCCCACTTCTTTCTCTTTTTGAGATAGAGTCTCATGTATGCCAGGCTTGCTTTGAACTCGCTACGTAGCCAAGAATGATCTTGAACTTCCAACCTTCCTATCTCCACTTGCTGAGTGCTGGAATTACAGTTGCATGCCACTGTGCCCAGACTGTGCCGTGTGAGGGATCAAACCCCGGGGCCTCATGCATGGTAGGCCAGCACTGAAATGACTTAGCCTCACCACTAGCCCAGGGCCCGCCCCTTTGTTGAAAGACCTCTACAAGCAAAAGGCAACAGATGTCAGAGTGTGGTGGCCTAATCTTTAGCACCAGCACTCGGGAGGCAGAGGCGGGCAGATCTCTGTGAGTTTGTGGCCAGCCTGGTCTACAGAGTGAGTGCCAGGACAGCGAAGACTGCATAGTGAGACCCTCCATTAAACACAACGCAACAAAAACAACCCCCAAAGTAACCGAATCTCTAAGACGTATGTGGTGGCGGGGAGTGGGAGTTTAGGGAGTCAGGCTGGTCTGGGTTCAAATTCTGACTATTGTAGTATAGGAAAGAACTGCACCTGGGGGGGGGTAGCTGCCCCCTCCAAATCACAAGGACAGACAAGGGAACTCATTGTCTGCAAGACATCTGTGTAGTGGCCACCAAAACGCTGGGACTGCAGCTGGCCCAAACTGAGAAATGCTCAGATTTCCACTAGTTAGCACCAAAAAGAAAAAAAAAATATGTAAAATGTCTCATTAGTAACTATCACATGTTGAAATGATATTTTTTTCGGTATTGGCTTGAGTAAAATATATTATTAAAATTAATTTTAATTTTTTTAAAACCTTTTGTCATGGGGAAACCATAAAATGGGTGTGGCTCATGGTGTCATGTCATTCTTTCATGCATGCTTCTATTGGAAATTGCTGTCCTAAACCATCACTGGAAATCCAATGGAACAGTGACCTGGGGTGGGCCCTGTCCTGTGCTCTGGCCCACCCCAAACCACAGGACAGGGCTATCTCAGGGACTCAAAGACTAGGACCTGGTCTCACTGACCCTGGCTGACGGAGCACCCAGACCACACTCTGCCTTCTCTGACCCTAGTGATCTGAACTGAAGGCCCCAGCCGAGGAGGCTGCTGCTCTGGTGAGGAGGTAGACAAGGGGTTGTGACCAAGAGAGGCTAAATGGGGACAGGTGATAATGGTGGCTTGGTCCTGTGACAAGGGGCTGGAGTCTGGAGACCCTCTGGGCCAGAACCCATGGAGTTTTCTGAAGACCTAGTGTAGGTTGTAAGGATTGAGGCAGAGAGCTTGAGACTGTGGTCCGAGCACTTGGCACAGACCCTGGCCTGTAACAAGGAGGGTAAGCCTGGTTTCCTCCTGCCCCGAGGACAGGGACAGCCCAGCTCTTGGGGTGGCCATGTGTAAAGGTAGCTCACTGCACCCACACCGTATCCATGATTCAAGCCATGTTCATCACCAAACAGGACTTGTTTATGTATCCTGGGCTAGCTAGCCCTTCCACTCTGCAGAGAAACAGGAAAGCTTCTCTCAGTCCTGAGGAGATGTTGCTGATTAAAGTTCCCTTGTGCAGAGCAAAGACAGTTGTCAAATCGGATCACACTTAACTCCCCTTGTCCTGTGGAGGGAGTGGGGTCACTGCTCCTTGATTCAGGGTGCTGCCTCTCCACTCAGGCCTCTGTCTTTCCTGGGACAGGAGGCCCCCTGGGTGTAGGAATGTCTGTCCCTCTGACCTGGGCCTGGGGAACTGCATAGCCCAGGGGTGGGAGCTGATGGAAGTCGCATGCCTGGGGTGACCTGCAGTTGCTAGGCATCTACCATCTTCCTTCTGTGAGACAATCTCCTGAGAGGAAGAAGCCATGCTAATTGCATCTCACACAGTTCGGGGAAAACAAGCCAGAGCATACAGAGTGGAGGGGTGCTGGGCTGTGAAGTGGGGTCCAGCATTGTAACCTGGGTAGGGGGACTGCCGGTGGCTCCTGGAACTGGTTCTTCTAAGAGCTTGGTGGGAGCTGGGCCCTTCAAGAATGCCAGCTAGGCCGGTGGCTGCATCTCTCCTCTGCTTCCCACTCCGCGCATCTGGAACAGCCAAGCTGGTGACCACTGAACAGAGTTGCTGGGGGGGGGAGAAGGGGGGAGGAGGGTGACTCAGAGCTGAACTTTGATTGACCACAGGAACCAGGCAGGAGGTGGAGAGTCCCCAGAGCAGGAGCCCAGGAAGAGGGGAAGGAGCCTGACGGAGGGTCAGAGTGGTGTCTGGGTGAACCCCAGGGGAAATGGGGACCTTAAAGCTGGGTTTGAGTTTAGAAAATGGTGGCTTAGGCTCACAGGGCTGGGCACTGGGTAGTGTGAATGGAAAAAATTTGGAAGAATTAAAATTGGCAGCCTCCCTGGCTCCTGGCCTCCTGGCTCACTTTCAAGTCAGCCCTCCTTTGTCACTCCTCTGCCCGTGTCCTCCTCAGGCTCTAGGAGTGTCTTGCCACACATAACTCTCCTGGGGCCTGGTTCCTGTTTCTGAGCCCTCATCTGCCTGTTCTCCAAACAGCACTTTTCACAGAGACACCCCATGACATGACAGCGCGGACAGGTGAGGATGTGGAGATGGCCTGCTCCTTCCGAGGCAGTGGCTCCCCATCCTACTCGCTGGAGATCCAGTGGTGGTACCTGCGCAGCCACCGGGACTGGACTGACAAGCAGACATGGGCCTCCAACCCGGTAAGACCGTGGGAGATGCTTCCATGGGGGCTGCTGCAGGGGCCCCCGTCCTCAGCAACACCCTTCGGGTGACAGTCCCCAATATGTCAGCCTGCTGGCACATGCAGGCATGGAAGATCCATGCAGCCAGAAGAAACCCTTGGAAAAGGAGTTTGGGGTATCTGGGGGCATTCAAGAGTGTTCTTGGGTATTTGGGGTTGGAAGTCTCCAGGACATGATCAGGGATTCAACTGTATCTGCTACAAACAAATGTCCAGATTCAAACATACAGCCTTACTGGTACATTCCCAGATGGACACAGACTCCTAGGGTCATGCCATTCACACTATCCCCCATTTGTACGTGCACACAGACACTCAGCCATTATAGCCAAACATCCTTGTGAGTCCAGATGCCTGGCCCTATGGCCAGTGTCACAAGCTCCTCCTTCCTCTCTTTTTGGCTGCCCTCTCCTGCATTGCCAGTGGACACAGAGCTGAGAGACCCCATTTCCGGACCTCATGACCTCTAGCTAGAATCTTATTTTTTATAAGGTTTATTTATTTACTATTTTAGGTGCATATGTGTGCCTGAGTATGTGTGCGCCTGAGTGTTTGTATATGCATTGTGTGTTAAGTACCAGTGGAGACCAGAGGGGGCACTAGATCCCTTGGGGCAGGGTGTTGGGCACTAAGCTTGGGTCCTTTGGAAGAGCAGCAAGTGTTCTTATGCTCAGTCAGCTCTCCAGCCTTTTTTTTTTTTTTTTTACATTATCATTTTTAAATTTGACTGGAATGTATGTAAGTGTCTCTATGAACAGGATTCAGGGTGACATTTCCACAGCTGTACGCACTGTGCACTGAGGAAATCCAGCATCCTTGACCATGACCCTAACTGTCCTCTGTCTCCATGGTGTTTCTCCCCACCCCCACCCCTCTCTAACACCTTGTCTCTACTCTCTGTTCTCCCTCTCTGGACAGCTAAAAGCATCTCAGCAGGAGGACTCGGGGAAGGACGCCACCAAAATAAGTGTGAGTTTTGATAATGACTTTCCACAAATGGTTTAATGGAAGATGCAGCTGTAACAACAGTTTTTTTTTCTTTTCTTTCTTTCTTTCTTTCTTTCTTTCTTTCTTTCTTTTTTTTTTTTTCTGGTCCATTTCAGCAGGGAACTTGGGCAAGAAAATGGAGGCAGTGGGAGGGTGGCTGGGAGGTGCCCCAGCTTGGTGGGGTTTTTGTTTGTTTGTTTTTCTGGGTCTTTTTTGCCAGAGATTTTTCAAGTTCATTGAATGACAGGCAGGAAAAATGACAGGAGAGAGAAGACGAATTCTCCCCTGGCGGGCCAAGGCCGGGTATGCTTCCATGGTGTTCCATGCCTGACTCAACCCCATTTGTCACTGGGAAGCTACAAGGTCTCAGGAGGCTGAGTGGGCTTTTTTTTTTTTTTTTGCCTATCGTGACTGATGCTGGAGCATCTCAGGGTCCCTGAGTGTGGCTTCCAGGAGCAGGGACTCCAGGACTGGCTGACCTTAGGCATTCACTCAATTTTTTTTTCTTTTTTTTTTTTGTGGCCACAGTGTGCAGAAAGGGCCAAGCATCTGTCCATTTTACAGCCTGGGCAGCTGAAGCTGGACAGTACCTGAAGTGTGGCTAGTGTTGCTAAGCCTCTTGCCCTCTGCCAAAGGCCAGGGAGACCAGGGAGTTGGGATGTGACAGTTACTGTGGAGTTTGACTGCCTAAAGCTCAGCCTGGAAGAGACAGGCACTGTCGAGAAAGAAGATAAAGAGGGGGAGGAACATGGAACAGAGGGGACTATTCTGGGCATGCGTGTGGCCACAGTGCTGGGCTAGGTTCCTGGAAGTTCACCAGCAACACATGCATGGTGCAGGTGCCCTAGTACAGATATGAAAGTGTGTGGGGGCAGTCTTTCCAACCCCACTTTTTGGCTGGGTCTCCCCTAGCTATTTAGGGACTATAGGAGGCATCGGGACCCACAGGGACAGTACAGTACAAGGGAAGCTGTGCTCCTGAACCAGGGGTTGCAGCAGAGTGGCCACCAGGACAAGTAAGGGCACCATGGCCAGGAGGCCAGGGAGGAGGTGCCTTCAGCCACTCAGGGAACGGGCTAGCAAGTGAGAGACAGGATGGGATCACAGCAACCTTGGTGCCTTCTGGCAGGACATGGGAATTGCAGCCATTCAGTTTAAGACAGCCAACCCCGCTCTCCTGCCCTCAGCAAAGGGGATGCTCCTGTTTCATGCCCCATTTCTTGCCTCTACATCCATCAGACCCTCAGGCAGAGGTCTCCAGATGTACCAACAGGCCCGCTTTGAGGACACACCCTCTGCCTTGATTGTGTCCCATTTCGTGAGTGGCTCTGGACTCTGGCAAAGAAAGAATTATCTAATTGATTGAGAGGATTATAATTCCAGGCTGCTGGCCTCATGAGAGGGGAATGCAACTCTAATTAGTTAAATAAAATAAATGTTCTCTGTGGGAGTGTGAAGTCACCCCCCCCCACCCAGTCCATCCCCATAATCCTCACACCAGCTGGGGCTTCAGGGTCTGGTACCAGGCCCAGCCTTTTACACAGCCATGCAAGCCAGCCTTCCTAAATACACGAGCAGAGCAGACCACACTGGAAGGCAGACCCACAGCCTGGCTTCTTAATGTCTTAGGCAATGGCACAAACTTTTCTTCTAGGCTTTCAAGGCTCTGTGACTATCCTGTCATGTCTGGGCTTATCTGTTCCCTCTTACAAGCTCTGGGCCTTTGCGTAGTCCAGGCTCTCTGCCTAGAAATCTATTCCTATCTCTCCTTTCATTGCTCAGCTGAGGAAGGCCTCCTGGGCCCAGTTACAATTGTGCCCCTTCCCCTTCCCTGCTGGTTATGTCATTAGCCACTCCTGGATTACTTCACGTCAGTCTCCCCTAGAGACAGTAGGCCCAGGATGAGCCTGGTTCACTGTTGCTTTTCCGTGGACCAACATAGAGCCTGGCACATATAATATGCCCAGTTAATATTTACTAATTACTATCCCTGTCTCACACACTCAGAACAACGTATATACAACACGTCAGTATATATGGGCGTTAGCATGGTGTGACTTGACTTTGTGTATCCAGGTGATAATAGTGAGTGAGGAACTCATGTGAGGCCTGCAGGGACCCAGAAAATCCAGACCTCATGTTCTCACATCATCTAAAGGACAAATTTGCTGGCCTGGCTCCCAGCTCTAGCTGGTGGGACATCTTTGGTCCTTTGATGAACCACTATGTGAACTATAGGCCAGGCAGTGCCAGGGCCTGTGGGAGACTTGGCTTCAGTAGGTAGTGAGGGACACTTCTAAACCTGTGGAGCCTGCTGTGGAACCCTACAGAGGTCCAGACTCGGGGTTAGCTGTCATGATGGTAGTTGGGGATCCTGAGGATACCACGGGGCTGGCACTTAGTATGCCAGGAGCTGAGCTCTGGCTCTGGCTCTGGCTCCTCTCCATCTCTGTTTCTGGAATAAGATGGTATAAGAAAACATTAGGAACTAGAATTAGCTTGTGCTGAGGCACCCAGTACTTACTTGAGGCCTGCAGAGCCCCAGGATGCCATTCTGTAAAGCTTTCCTTCATTGCCAGCCATGTTCAAATTCTGCTGTGGTCTAGCCAATGCTCTCTGCATTAGGGGTTAAATTGGGGGTTAAGTAGATCCCTTACCGGTCTCACAGGTAAAAATGTTGCTGAATTCCTGACTTAAGAAGTTCCCCTATAGGGCAGGAACACAGTAAAGGTGCTTGCCCCCTGAGCCTTATGACCTGAGTTTGATCCCTGGGACCCATATAATAGGAGAGAACTGAACCCCATGTCATCCTCTGACCTCCACATACGTGTCAGAACAAGCAAATACCCATACATTCATGTACTCACAAAAATTAGTTTAAAAAAATGTCCCCAGCCGGGTGTTGGTGGCTCACGCCTTTAATTCCAGCACTTGGGAGGCAGAGGCAGATGGATCTCTGTGAGTTCGAGGCCAGCCTGGTCTCCAGAGTGAGTGCCAGGATAGGCTCCAAAGCTACATAAAGAAACCCTGTCTCGGAAAAAAAAAAAAAAAAAGTCCTCTTTCCCTGGGCCTGTCAGGTGATATCTGCAGTCACAGTGGGCAAGAAATGCTTCCAGAAGGCCAGTCACTTATGCCCAACCCCCAGGCCCAAGTGGAAAATGGGCATGCATTTACTACTCCCAGGAGATAAAAGGGAACATGACAGCTGCCACCGCCACAGGAGGAGAATGGCTGGTTTCTGAGAACCTGTGCCAGGGGCCTAAGCTAACACAGGCCTGGGGCGACCTGGAGGGTGAGGTTGAGGCCTCTAGGGCCCTCTGGGCTGCACCAGCTGTGGGTGGGCTTGCAGCCAATCAAGGAAGAGCAGGTGGAATGGGGTTGGTGGACTTCGGGAAGACACTGGAGGAGGCTCTGTTGAGGACCCAGCTGGCAGAGTCTGGGGCTGCCCTGGCTCGTGCAGATGGTGGGGTCTGGAGAGAACGGTGGTTTCTCACATACTCAGGGGCAGGGGCGGTGGGAGTCTGCATTGGATATGCTTCATGGTGCAAGGTGACCATAGTAAAACCAACTGGAGGCGCTCAGACCCACAGGGTCCCAGAGCTGGAGGCTTTCCAACTTGGGCTTTGAATCTGCCCAGGGGCTGGTGAAGTGACAGAGCTGAGCAGAGGCCTGTGGAGGGGCTGACAGCTAAGGCAGAGAGGTCTCAGAGTCCCCTCCCTGCCTCCCCAGGCACCTCCGAGGTTTCCCCTTGGAACCACAGGGAAGCAAAGGTCACCCTGTGGGCACAGATGGCCTGCCTGGCCTTTCCTCCTGGCCCAGCTGGGAGGACCGAGCCTGGGGTGTGTGGCTGTGGCCAGCAGGAGGCTGGCGGTCAGAGCCGCCTCGCCAGGCTCTTTCTGCTGATTAGGTGCTTAATCGCTGAGGCCTGTCGATGCTGGGCTGTGATTATGATTTACAGCCAGGCTGCCCTGCGGGTGTATCTTTTGGCCTCTCCAGTCGCACTGATTTCTGCACGAGGAAGCCCAGCAGGCTCTTCCACCACCCCAAACGACTGAGGTGGACTAGAGAGTCCCTCCAAAGGAGCAGCCATTGATGAGATTTAGGGCAGGGCTCCACAATGACACAGAGTGCTGGGGGCTGGAGAGTGAGGTGGGAGGGGTTTCTTCCCATAGGCCACGCCCTGGGTGTGGCCGTGCATGACTGATCTAGGGAGCGGCAGTTTTCTCCCTCCTGAACCCTGGGAGGTGGTTCTGGGACTTGGTACAGCAACGATGAAGGGCTGTGAGCACTGATGGCTGCTGTTTGGGTCTTTGCCTTTTGCAAACTGTGCTGAGGGCAAAGCCCAGGCTGCAGCCCAGCCTCCTTCTAGCTTCTGACTTGGATGGCCATGGTACTCATGAGTGGCATGTGCCGTAGACCTTGGCCCACGAATCCCTGATGGAAGCACTGCCCTTCTGAAGGCCACCATTGTCTATTGGCCTCCTGGAGGCTGTGGAGGCGCTGACAGGTAAGGCAGAGAGGTCTCAGAGTCCCCTCTACCTGCGCCTGGAGGGCGGGGCGTAGGCCTCCCTCCCCAGGAGCGGCTGCTCCCAGCGCTGCGCATTATTACTCCATTAGCGCCTTGTAGGGTTGACAAATGAAGGATAATTAATATCCGTGAGGGAAACAGATGTTGAGGTAATTCGCTCCCGCTGCGCATTTGCAATGGCTTCTCCTAACTCACAGGAGAGTGTGGCGGGACCGCGGGGGTCTTTCTGTGCCCTTGGTCAGGGTGATGGAGTTAGCGGGCAGAGTGGACGTCACACGAGGGAGGGAGCGTCTGACTTTTGGCTCTCATGCCTTGTTTCCCCCATTGGGATCTTCTGTCTGTGTCCCCCTCCAGTTCCCCTTGCTGTACTATAAGCCCATGTTTTCCTGCTTCTTGGGGGATGGGCTCCTCAGCTCTGGAATCCTCTGGGGGTGAATGCATGGAGCCTAGCCTGGGGTCAGTGGTCAGCCTCGCTGCATACTGGTTTGGGCTCTGGACCAGGCCAAGAGCCTGAGTCCTTTTGGGGTCTCAGTTTCACCATCAGTAAAGTGGTTACCTTGTGTGTATGCACCCTAAAACAAGAGGATGGCATTTGGGCTCTACGCTAATTGGAAAAAGGAGATGGGGCTATTCCTCCCGCTCCACAGACTCTGTCTGCTGTTTGTGTCTGGCTCCTGTGTGTCCCCAGCTATGTGTGTGTCTCAGTGCAGGCTGGGAAAATATGTCTACAGTCCATACTGCCCTCTCAGAGACCATCCTTTTTGCCCTGGGGTCCTTCACTTTGGGGGGGGCAGCAGGAAACCCACTAGGGTCTCAAAGCAAAACTCTGGGACTTGGCAGGCACAGTGCAGCTGTTGCTATCTAGAAGAGGGGACATTAGTCCTCAGGGACCAGGCTGGTGGGCTGAGCAGCCTAGGAAGGTAGGTACTGCCTGATGGCTGGGGACTGGGTTCCATTAGGGCTGAGCCTCCAGCTCTAAGAAAGTTTCTTACCTAAATAAAGGTCCAAGTTCATTCCCTTTAACATTCTTTTTAAGTTATAGAAGTGTAGAAATTTACAAAAATAAATCAGAGCCCATATCCACCATCCAGTCACACCAGTGATGCATATTACTCCAATTGCCTTTTCTCTTGTAATTGAAAAAAAAAAAAGTTGCCAGCAGAGTTATAGTAGCAGCAGATTTATTCACGGGAGTACTAATCTGGAAATTACCTGATTACCAGCCAACAGGAAACTGTGTAGACAAGCCACAATGCGGTCATCCAATGGAATACCACACAGCAATGCACAGAACCAGCCGATATGGCATTGTGTGAAAGTCACACTTGGCAAAGGGCCCTCCCTCACATAGAGAGTGCTAGAAAGTGGCTGAACTATGGTGACAGATACGGAAAGGAAGTCCCTAGTTGGGATTAAGAACTGGCACAGAAGAGATCCGTGGGTTTTGACAGTCTCCATGGCAGACACACAGGCACAAGCATGAATGGGTTGTCCACCCAGCTGGGTGTACTTGACCCAGGACAACAGGGCCCCAACTATAAAATAAAATTAAAGCTCTGGTCAAGGGTTAGGTGTGGTGTTACAATCTAATGTTCAGGAGGCTAAGGCAGGAAGGTCCTGACTTAGACAGAGACCAGCCTGGACAACACAATGAGATCATATCTTTAAAAAAAAATTCAAATCAATAGAAAGGCAAAACTTTACAAGTGTACACTCACTCCACCACCAGGGAGTAGACAGTTAAAATCTAGCATCCAACTGTAGTGTTTTGGTTGTCAGCCTGTATCCTTTTTTCCCCCTTAGACTTCATTTATTTTTATGTATGTGTTTGCCTGAATATATGTCTGTCCACCACCTATGTGCCTGGTGGCTGTGGAAGCTGGAGGAGGGAATTGGATTCCCTGGAACTGGAGTTACAGTTGTGAGCTGTCATGTGGGTGCTGGGAATCGAACCTCAGTTCTTTACAAGAACAACCAGTGCTCTTAAGTGCTGAACCATCTTTCCAGTCCCCATCTTCCAGCCTCTATCTTAAAGAATCAGAACCTTGGGGCTGGTGAGATGGCTCAGCGGGTAATGTGCTGGCCATGAAGCCAGACACCTGCGTTTGAGCCTTAGGATCCAGATGGTGGAAGGAGAGGAGACTCCTGCAGATTCTCCTCTGACCACATAGTCACTGTGGTACAAAGCCCCCTACCCAAGTTTCTCCCAAGGCCTGCTGTGAGGCAGCTGGCTTCCCTTCAAAGCAGGGGGTTTTTTGTTGTTGTTGTTTTGTTTGTTCATAAACAGCAACACAGCCTGGGAGCTTTGCCAGGAGACTTTGCGTATGGAACTCTCACAGGCTGGGCTCTGGCTCTCCCTTCTTCACTGCTGGGCAGTATTCCACTGGCTGCACATAACACCCTGTGGATAGGCGTTAGCGTTGCTTCTGTTTGTCTGTCTGCCTGCCTTTCAGCTGCTCGGATGCTGACCTTGGGTCCCCTCCCTGGCTGTGTCTGGGGTGGGAGCAGCCTGGCGGCTTAGCTCGCGACCCCCGGCCGGTCCTCACGGTGCCTCTGTCGCCCCCAGGTGGTCAAGGTGGTGGGCAGCAACATCTCCCACAAGCTGCGGCTGTCGCGGGTGAAGCCCACTGACGAAGGCACCTACGAGTGTCGCGTGATCGACTTCAGCGACGGCAAGGCCCGGCACCACAAGGTCAAGGCCTACCTGCGGGTGCAGCCCGGGGAGAACTCGGTGCTGCAGCTGCCTGATGCGCCCCCCGCTGCGCCCGCGCCACCGCTCCGCCTCGTGCACCCCGTCCTCGCGGCCGGCCCCCTGGTGAGGAGCCGGGCCGTGAGGGGCCCCACGCTCCTGTTCCGTCTCTTTCTACCGGGAACCGGCTCCGGGTCCCCCAGGGAAGCGGAGACCACTCAGCCCCACGCGGGAGGCTGCCCTGCCAGGCAGAGTTAGCACCAGCAGGCTCGTTCTGGGCCCTCGAGGCTCTCCCCGAGCCCCCCTCTGCCGGCACCCCCCACACCCAGCCCTGTCTTGGGCCTGTGAAATCCACAAGGGATCCCCTCCACCCATCCCCATCCCCATTCCTGATCAGGGGACACCCACCCTGGTGGTTTGTAAATATTTCTATTGGGCCCACCCCGCCCCGGAACTGGCTCAAACCTCTGGCCACCCTCGGTGATGGAGGGGAGGTGGGAGGCCCAGGGCTTTGCCTAGGGGTGAGCGGGCCCTGTGTATATGACCCAACCTGTGAGTACCAGCCAACTCCAATAAAGCGGTTTAAACCAACATGGACAGTGTCTTGCTGGGCCTGGCAGCTGAGCCATCCAGAGGAGGGAGGGAGGGAGGGAGCGCTTGGTGGGTCACAGCGCTGAGCAGAAGTGACCTGGTGCAGAAAGGAGCCTGGAAGGGCAGGAGCTGCTGCTGGCTGGGGAGAGGGGTCCCCAAAGGACGAGAGAAGCAGCTTTTGTCTCCCCCACTGTGGATGCTGGCACCTGAATTAGTCTTGGACCCCGTGATAATCACATATACAGAAGAACCTGTAAAGCATGCTTGCTGAATTGCACAAACATCTTTGTAGCTGCTACCCAGAAAACCTGTCACTCCAGAGCAGACCCCACCGAGGCCCTTAGTCTCTTCCATGGTCTCCTCCCTCACTCTTAGAGGGAACCCAATTGTGGTGATATCTTGCTTGTACAAATAAAGCCTGTCTGGGGTCATAGAATGGAGCTTGCCACTAGCTAACCATAGAGGTCTGGAGCTCTGTACAGACAGACAGGAAGTGAGGTAGCTGGACAGAAAGAGGATGTAAGCAGGGAGAAACAGGAAATCTGTTGTCTTGTCTGCTGAGACGCTGAGGAGGTAAGGTGTGCTGTGGCTTGCTCCTTCTTTGATCTCTCAGCATTTCCCTCTGTATCTGACTCCGGCTTTTTATTATCTAGACCAATTAAGGACTCCATTTACATTTTGGCACCCAACGTGGGGCATGAACCCATGACCCTGAGATTAAGAGTCTCATGCTCTACTGACTGAGCTAGCCGAGCCTTTTTTTTTTTTAAAGAGGGAAATGCTGAAAAATCGGAGGAGCAAGACACAGCACACCTTACCTCCTTTGCATCTCAGCAGACAAGAGTGTGATTTCCTGTTTCTCCCTGCTTACATCCTGTGCCCAGTTACCTCACTTCCTGTCTGTCTGTACAGAACTCCCGACCTCTATGGTTAGCTAGTGGCAAGCTCCATTCTCTGACCCCAGACAGGCTTTATTTGCACAAGCAAGATACCACCACTCCCAATAGCGACTGTTATGCTAATATCAGCATCAATTTTGGAGTTGCATATATAGTAGGGTTTTTTGTTTTATTTTGTTTTTACTTTTAATACATACATACATATGTGTGTGTGTATGTGTTATTTTTTATTACATGCATCTTTATGAGGGTATGTGCATGCCACAGCATGCATGCAGAGGTCAGAGAACACCCTGAGGATGTCAGTTTTCTCATCCCACCAAGTGGGTCCTGTGGATCAAATTCAGGTCATCATCAGGCTTGGCGGCAAGTGTCTTTACCCATGGAGCTGTCTTATCCACTGTGTTGGTCACTTTAAATAAAATATTTTAATTTACTTTTTTTTTTTTTGAGTGCTGGGAACAAGGATTCCTTGCACATGTTAGGCAAGTGCTCTCCCATGGAGTTATATTCCAGCCCCTCTTTATTTGAGTTTTGTGTTTCTGCTTTTGAAACATGGTCTCGTGTAGCTCAGGATGGCCTCCTGCCTCAGCATCTCCAATATTGGATTGACAGGGTGTCGTGTGTATTCCTTCTGATTGCTTCATCCTGGGCTACTGTTATGAGCACCTTCTCCATGTCCTCCGTGCACACAAGCCTGAGAGTCTCATAGACATTTCCTATGCCGGCACTTCAGGCTGTCCACTTTAGGATCTCACATTCTTCTCGGGCCGTCACCACCCCCTATTATAAGAGGAATCAGGGTCAGAGAAGGCACACAGTTCACCCTAGCTCATAGAGTGGTTGAACCTTCCTTAGCCTAAAAGGGTGAGCAGTTGGCCTTGACAAGACCAGATCCCTTCAAACCCCTTCTCCCTCACCATGCATGTCCTGGATCATCCCAACTGCCATTGTTCTGCTAAGAATTTACCCGAGGATGTGTTGACACAGACCTCCCAGACTAGTATGGCCAGTGGGTCCCTTTCTCTGCACCTTCAGAAACCAATAGCACTACCCAGAGACAGGGGTGTGTTGATATGGTGAAACTGGGCCCCAAGACTTTTGCATCACCACAGTGCCCCCAAGACAGGCCCTGTATCCTCAATTTTCAAATGAGGACACAAGCTCAGAGGAGGGCAGCTGAAGGCAGGCAAGATGGATGGATTGATAGGTGGATGGATGATGGATTGATAGGTGGATGGACAGACAATGGGTGGACTATGAGTGGATGATGGATGGATGGTGGATGGGTGGATGGACGAATAATGGGTGAATGGTGGATGGAGGGCTGTGCTGATGGGTCAGTGAAGGGGTGGACTGCTGGATGGATGGAAGGAACACTGGATGGATGGAAGGACTGCTGGATGGATGGACTGATGTATGTATGGAAAGACTGCTGGATGATAGGTGTATGGATGGCCACACAATGGCTGACTGGTGGGTGGATTGAGACATAACTAACCTAGACTGTGGAGCCAGTGTGGTCCGAACCTGTTGCAAAACCTAGGTATCCAAGTGCCATCTTGTCTGCCCTGTGGTCATCTGGCCAGTGTCTATCATTTATTCAATGATAGATTTATCTCAGAGTGTCCTACAGCAATGCTGGCTTTAGAAGGCCCAGGTCCCTCTGTGAGGGAGGAGAGCCTTGCTGATGTCAGATGGCAGTGCCCACTAGCTCTAGCCAGGCACTGTGCTTTGTGCCAGGCACTGGTGCACAGCAAAATCTGCACCTCTCAAAACCCCCTCCTCCCACTGGGGAACTTGGAGTGCTTGCTCTAGCTCCATTGTGAGAACCTAGGGGGAAGAAAGCGCCTGACCTGGAGTCTTGCCCCTGCCCATCCTTGCTGGAAGGCCTCCAGCAGGGCCCTTCACCTTCCTGAACCTCAGTTTCTCTTTCTGTGTAACGGGGATGCTGCTGGGGAAGTGAAACCTTATCACCATGAGCTGCCATCACACATAATGTAGATGGAAATTTCTGTCCTGCCCCATCCTGCAGCTACCTGTTCAGTCCCAAATAAACACAAAGAGGCTTATATAAATTATAAACTGTTTGGCCTATTGCTCAGGCTTATTACTATTAAGCTCTTACAACTTAAATTAACCTGTAATTTTTATCTATGTTTAGCCACATGGCTTGGTACCTTTTCTCAGTAAGGCATTCTCATCTTGCTTCCTCTGCGTCTGGCTGGTGACTGAGTCTTTCTTTGCCTTTCCTCTTCCTAGAATTCTCCACTCCCTTCCTGGCTACTGGCCAATCAGTGTTTTATTAAACCAATATGAGTGACAGATCTTCATAGTGTCCAAGAACATTATCCCACAGCAACATACAAGGAGGGCGACACAAAAAAGTGTGCAGAATCCACACCACTCACCGCTAGGGAGGATGGGAAATGAGGCAGCCTCTCAGCAGGTCCACTGCCAAAAGAACTAGAAACACAGGTCTGCTCAAAGCCTGTCAATGAATATTCATGGAGCGTTATTCACAGAAGCTTTATTCATGGCAATCCCCAGACAGAAATAGCTTAAGTGTCCATCAACCAATGAGTGACTGATGAAGAAAATGTGGTCAATCCAGGCAATGAAATATTAGTTAAGACTGAAAAGGAACGTTTCACACACAGTACAGCATACAGGAACCTTGAGAACATTGTGATAAGTAAGCTGATAAAAATATTCTAAAATTGATTGTCGTGGTGGTTGTACAACTGTGTGGATTTGCTGAATCACTGAACAGATATTTTAAGTGGATGACTGTATGGTGTGTGAATATCTCAATAAAGCTGTTAAAAGAAACAGGATACTCCTAACTGCAGCACTGTGCCCACATGCCAAAACTGGGCACATACATAGCAGGCGCTTGGAAATGGTGGCTTCTATTTATTTATCACGATGATTTTTAAGTGAAAGCTAAGAGAGAGTTAGGCACAGCTGGTGGTGGCAGCTGGGGGAAGCAGCAATGATGAGGTCGGTAGACTTGTTCCTAAGGTGGTGCCCAGGCCTATCCTGAAGGTTCAGAAGAAACCCAACATTCCCTGAGGGTAGTTACAAGCCACTTTCCCCTTTGTGCCCAACATAGCAATTGCCTGTGGGCCAAGGAGATGGCCCAGCTGGTAAATTTCTTGCTGTCCAAGCATGAAGACTTGTGTTTGATTCCCAGGACCAACATTTTAAAAGAGTAGGCACTATAACCTTTATAATCCCAAAGCTGAGGAGGTGGGGACAGACAGGATCCCAGAGCTCTGGCCAGTCAATTTGGCCTAATCAATAAATTCCAGTCCAACAGAGAGGCCCTGCCAGCTGAGGAAGGACACTGAGGTGTTTGGCTTCCACATGCAAAGGCATATGCATATACCACATAGAACAACCTGGGATAATTAGGTATAATGGTATATGCCTGGATCCCCAGTCACTCTGGCTGCTGAGGCAGAAGGATTGCTCCAACCCAGGAATTTTTTGTTTTGTTTTCGATTTTTGAGACAAGCTTTCTCGGTGTCCTGAAACTCAATTTGTAGACCAGGCTGGCCTTGAACGCAGAGATCAGCCTCCTGAGAATTAGGATCAAAGTGTGTGCCACCATTGCCTGGTAAACCTAGAAACTCAAAACTGGAAAAACAAACAAATAATAATAACAAACACAAAAAGAACCCCAGTGTGGGTTCATTCTAAATTCAGAATGAGTGGGTTCATTCAGACCCCACCAGCATCTACAGCTACTGAGCAGCTCCAAGATGGCCACACCTCAGTGAAGTTTCCCTATGGTTTTTGAATGACCATAGGCTATTCAATTGTTGGACAGAGAATGATTTATCCAGAGGGCTCCTCTTCAGGAGGATCCATGGTGTCTCCTGCCTCCAGAAACAAGGTTGCATGGAAAGTTCTACCTGGCAAACCTGAGCAATGGCAGGGCACTTCTGTAAGGTGTCTCTGTACCTTAGAATTGCAGGGTCAAATCACCGATGCTATTTTAATTCCTGTTAATTACTTTCCATAGAAGTGGGAGCAATTTACACTTCTATAAATGGTGTGTGAATGTGCACCTGGCCCCCTCTTGCCTATCTCCACAACCTC